GGGTCGCAGCCCGGAGGGGGCAGCGCCCCGAACACCGCGTCGGGGCCGGTCATCGCGGGGGCCGCCGGCTGCGGGCAGAGAGGGAGATGGGGGCCGGGTCAACCAGGACGGGAAATCGGGGCGCCAGAGCCCCCCCTCCGGGAGCCTCTGGGACCCACGAGCTCCCCTCAGCCTGGGGGTTCGCGTTGGAGTCTGGGGTTCGTGTTAGGCTGGGGTTCGTGTTAGGCTGGGGTTCGTGTTGCAGGCTGGGGCCTCTTGCCTGGCGTGTGGGGTTCTGGGCTGCCCAGGGGTCTTGATGGACTGGACATGTGGGAGTGAGCGGCCGGTGACCAGCCGGTCCTTCGAAGCCACCGCTGTCAGGTCCTGGCCTGAGGTCTCAGCCCGGGTGTGAGTGGGGGGGGGAGACGGACACACACACACACACACACACACACACACACTTACGTAGAGCCGGGGCCGGGGCAAGGCCGGGTCCCCTCCATCCCCGGCCGGCCTGGGCAGCTTCTCCCCTGGCCCCTCAGGCCCTTCATCAGGCCCCAGCTCTGGGCCCTCCAGGCCCCTCCGCTTCAGTGTCTGTGAGGAAAAGAAACGGCAGGATGGACCCGGCCTCCACCCCGTCCCGGGCGGGATGCGGACGGGGCTCAGTCCCGCCAGCCTCCGCGGCGGAAACCCTGGCCAGGGAGCGTGTAGGTTCCACGTGTGTGCGCGGAGGACGGGCCGCAGAGGGCGGGAGCCCGCCACCCCGCCACCCCGCCACGCAGCAGGACAGAGGACTGGCCTGCGGTGTCTGCTGCCTTTGGTCCTCCCCTCAGTGACCGCATCTGCCTGTGGCTGAGGTGTCTCTGTGGGATGGAACGCGGGTCTCCCCACACCCCCCCAGTGCGGGGATTTCTCAGTACTCTGGCCTATGGACACCGCCGGTAAGGATGGACACGCCCCGGAAAGACACGCCCCTGTAGACGGACACGCCCCCTCGGGAAGACACACCCACCGGCGGACACGCCCTTGCAGGTAGACACGCCCCTGTAAATGGACAGGCCGGCATGCAGACACGCCCCCTTCTATTGACACACCCCTTCAGGAAGACACGCCCCTGTAGGTGAACACACCCCTTAGGGAAGACACGCCCCCCTCAGGTACCCGGTCCTACGAAGGCACGCCCACATGCAGGCTAGTCCCTATCCAATAGCACACCTCCTTCAGGCAGACACGCCCCCCAGGCAGACACGCCCCGCGGGTGGACACGCCCCTTCCCAGGACACGCCCCCAGGCAGAGGCTCTGGATGGGCTCCGGCCTGGCCCGGCCCCGGCCCTGACGCGCGCACCTGCAGGATGTCGGCATTGGTGCGGCTCTCGTGCGGTTCGCTGTACTCGGTGTAGCGCAGCAGCACGCGGTCCATGTCGGAGCTGGCGTACTGGAAGAGGCGGTGCGCGCTGTTGAAGATGATGAGCGCGATCTCGCAGTCGCACAGCACGCTCAGCTCGTACGCCTTCTTCATCAGCCCGAACTTCCGCTTCGTGAAGGTCACCTGGGCCCGGGAAGGACGCGGCTAAGGGGGACTGGGGAGCCCGCAGCCTCCCCTCGCCGCCCAGGCCGCAAACTCCTACTCCAGCCTCAAAACCCAGCCCGGACGCCCGAGGACTGGGGGCACGCACCCTCCCTCTCCCTGGGCTCGCCAGTTCTGGCCCCGGCCTGGGCCGCGGTGTCGGGCCGGAGTTTCAGCTCTGTGGCCGGAGCCGTCAGGGAAATAAATGAGCACCATGAAAAGGGGCTAAGGCTCCATCTCAACCCCTGGATGAGGATGATAGGACTCCCCCCCAACACAGCCAGGCCTTGTCCCCGCTAGCCCCCCCCAGGAGCCTCCCAACTCCCCACCAGGGCTCACCTGCCGGTTCCTTTGGTCCAGAATTCGCGAAATCTGGATTTTCTTCCTCCCCATGGTACCTGGCTGAGCCCAGAAGCCGAGATCTGGGGGGGGGGGAGGGGACGAGAGGGCGAACGGGCCGTGAGGAGAGGCACCCCGCCTTCCTGCTGGACACTACCTGATACAACTGGGCTCTAGGGGGAAGGTTGTGGGGGACCTGGCTGGCGGGCTGGCCCTGGCCTCCACCCATCCCGGAGGCGGCCCGGGAGGCTCGCTGGACTGTCCAAGCCAGCGGCCGCTGTCCCAGAAAGCCCAGGAGGCTTTTTGTATGTTTTGCCAGACCTGGGGCTTGAACTCAGAGCCTGGGCACCGTCCCTGAGCCTCTCTGTGCTCACGGCTGGTGCTCTACCCCTTGAGCCACGGCACCACATCCAGGTTCTTCTGAGTAGTGTGTTGGAGACCAGTCTCACAAAAATTCCTGACCAGGCTGGTTTTGAACCTTGATCCACAGATCTCAGCCTCCCAAGTGGCTGGGATGACAGAGTGAAGCCAGACTTGAGCAGACAAAGCTAAGGGAGGGTGCCCAGACCCTGAGTGGGACCCCTAGAAACAGCTCACACACATGCACACGTGCATACACGCACACACACACATGCGTGCACACACACACAGTAAATTAAAAAAAAATGGGCTGGGAAGGTGGCTCAGTGGTAGAGTGCTCCCCTAGCATGGATGAGGCCCTGGGTTCAATTCCTCAGCACCACATAAGCAGAAAAAGCCAGAAGTGGCGCTGTGGTTCAAGTGGTAGAGCGCTAGCCTTGAGCTGAAAAGCTGAGGGACAGTGCCCAGGCCCAGAGTTCAAGACCCATGACTGACCAAAAGAAAAAAGTGCCCTCAGCAGCCTCCAGTGTCTCAAGGACACTCCACGATCCCCCGTGGCCCCCCGCAGCCCCCACGGTCCCCCGTGGCCCCCCGCGGCCCCCGCGGCCCTCTGTGCGCCTGGCCGCACTCCAGGCTCTCTGAGCTGCACAGAGGCAGAGCCCAGGCCCTGGCCCAGCCACCCGACTCCGCTCCACTTGCTATATTTAACCACGGGGCTAATTCTGACCCCAGCAGGAATCAGCAGGTTCCCATGGTGGGGCCGTGGGGTCCCTCCCAGAGGCTCCCAAGCTGGCGCCAGAAATGTCCCACCACCACGCGGGGTCCTGAGTGGGCCGGGCTGGGCAGAGCTGGCTCTGGAGTGCATGGCAGGGGGCGGGAATTACAGGGTGGGGCACCCCAAGAGCTAAGTGACACCATGAGACAGGGAATTCAGGAGCAGGCTGCAATGTGTGCAAAGGTCCTGAGGCACCAGGGTGAGCCAGGGAGAGGCCAGGAGCCCAGGGCTGCAGGAGCAGCCCCGGCGCTATGGGCTTCACTCTGGGAGCCAATGAAAACTGGGGCTGGCGTTGACTGATTGACTGATGGAATTGGAGGCTTTTTGGGGGCTAGACATGGGGCTTGAACTCTGGGCCTGGGCGCTGTCCCTCAGCTCTTCAGCTCAAGTCGAGTGCTCTACATCTTGAGCCACAGCACCACTTCTGGTTTTCTGGTGGTTTATTGGAGATGAGAATCTCATGGACTTTCCTGCCTGGCTGGCTTTGAACCGCAATCCTCAGATCTCAGCCCCCTGAGCAGCTGGGATGGCAGGCGTGAGCCACAGCACCTGGCAGGTGGTGATTCCTGATGACCACGGGAGCCTGGAAGCCACCCTGGACCCGGGCCCAAGAAACAGCTGCCCATCAGGGTCTTCCGCGCTGTCTCTGATCTGGCGTAAGCCGGCGCAGATCCCCCTCCTTCCCTCAATGAACAGCTCTGCTTGGAAGCTGCTGGACTCCTGCTTCACCTGGCCAGCTCTCCTGGCTGCTTCAAAACCCCACCCTCAGAGCTCATTTCTCCAGCATGGGCTGGGGTGCAGTCTGCCGGACCCCCGGGGCCCGGGCTGGGCCCAGCCAGCCAGCCTTGTCCCTCACACCCTTGAGAGATGTGTTTCCCTCAACAACTTCCCCCATGACTGCACGGGGCCCAGAAATATACCGCATGCAAATGCGGCCCCGAGCTGCGGCGGCGCCAGGGCCCAGGTGTGGGGCCCGCGGGCAGAGGGGCGCCATGCAAATCCCGATGCTGGGGTGATGGGAACTGCGTGGGGGGCATGTGCGAGGGGGAGGGGGACGTCTCCCCACACACAGCCCCTGCTCCCCAGATCCCAAGGGGGGCCACACCTGGGGCGCAGGGGGAGGAGGGATGGGCAGAATCCGGGGTCCATGGACTATCTCAGCCTCCTGATTGGCTGGGATGACAGGTGCCCGGCTCTAACCTCTTCATGTCTCCATACATCCCACTGCACAAGCACCAAGCTGGGCGGGCCTCCAGGGTACGCTGATGACCCCCGACCCCAGGAGGGCAAAGAAGACACGGAGACCTCTCATGAACCAGCCACCGACCAGAGCAGCGGCTCACACCTGCAGTCCAGGCTACCCAGCAGGCAGAAGATCTGCTTGGTCTGAGATGCATTCGCCCAGACCTCATCTCAAATAAAAATCCAGGCATGATGGCTCTCGTCTGTAATCCCAGCCGACCGGGAGGCAGACATGAGGGGATAGAAATTCAAGGCCGTCCTGGGTTTAAAAAATAGTAAGTTCAAGAGACTCCCATCCCAGTTCATGGCTGCTCATGACTCACCTGAAACACTCAAAGAGACCCAAGGAGTACAGCCCGAGCTGGGAAAAACTGGGCTGGCACAGTGGCTTACATGGTAGAGCACCTGCCCAGCAAGGGCAAGGTCCTGAGCTTCACCCCAGCGGCACCGTCAGACACAGACGGGAGGGGGGAGAGGGAGAGAGAAAGTGAGCACAGGCCCAGGTGATTTTACAACTGTTTTGTTCAAACCTCAAAGCATTGGAAATCTCAAGGTTAATCCCACTCCTGAAGACTCTAGAGCCAGGGCTGGGAAGGTGGCTCAGTGGTAGAGCGCTCGCCTTGCATGCCTGAGGCCCTGGGTTCCATTCCTCAGCACCACATAAACAAAAAAGAAGCTGGAAGTTGCGCTGTGGCTCAAGTGGTAGAGCGCTCGCCTTGAGCTGAAGAGCTGAGGGGCAGCGCCCAGGCCCCAAGTTCAGGCCCCACCACTGACAACAATAACAAGAAAGAGGACAAAAGAAAACAAAGCAGAGCGGAGCGCCAGTCTCAGCTGACAGCAGAGCCTGGCAATCAGCAAGGGCAAAGCCCGGCGCTCCAGCATGAGCACCACCAAAAACCCCCAGCGCCTACCACCCTGGCGTGCACCTGGCCGCCTGGTGCAGGGGCCGTCGGGGATGGTGTCCAGCGGGGAAGCCCCGGGGGGCCGGGATGGCCCTGTGCCCGCGTGGGCACACAGGTGTGTCCTGTTTGTGCAAATGGCTTTGTCATCGTCGGGTGCCGTGCGGGCTGCTCTGGCTGCGATCTGCCCTCAACCACAGATCCCCTGGGTCTGGCCGGGCGCGGGCGTGAGCACTCGCCCAGCACGCGTGACACCCCGTGACCGGACCCAACGCTGAAAGAAACACTTTTGTTGTTGGTGCTGGTGGTGGCAGTGGTGGGGCTTGAACTCAGGGCCTGAGCGCTGTCTCTGAGCGTTTCACTCAGGGCTTGGTGCTCTACCATTTGCACCACAGCACCACTTCCGGTTTTCTGGTGGTTCATTGGAGATCAAAGTCTCACAGACTTTTCTGCCTGGGCTGGCTTTGAACCTCGGTCCTCAGACCTCAGCCTCCTGAGTGGCTGGGGTGACCGTTTCTGGGTTGTTGGGTGGTGAGGGTTTGAATCTGGGCCTCACCCGTCCTGAGTCACACCCCCAGGCCTGTTGTGGGTGTTTTTTAGGGGACGAGGGAGGTTCTGGGGTCTTGCTTCCTGCCTGGGCCTGTGTTCCTACTTTGCCCTGTCTGTTTTAGCTTCGCGCTGGAGCTGGGGCGAGAGACATACCCCCTCACCCGGCTTCCTCAGCCTCCCCAACTTTTCTGGCTGGGGTTCACCGAACCACCGGCCTCCCGAGAAGCCTAGGGTGACAGGCAGGTGACACGTGTGCGTGGTGTTACACACACACACGTGTGCGCATATGCACGTGCACGCACGCGCACACACACGCACAGAGCTGCCCTGGGACTGCAGCCGCCGTGCTGGCGGGGACAGGGTGCTGGCGGGGACAGGGTGCTGGCCGGAGTCCTGACAGATGCAGGGGAGGGGGGGATGGGGTGTGCAGTGGGCCTGTGCTGACTCAGGGGTGCAGGGCGCCCTGGGGAGGGAGAGGCCAGCCCCAGGCCCGAGGCCCGCGAGGGGCAGGGAAGATCTAAGGACCGGACACAGCAAGGCGGCTCTGTACCGCGCTGGGGGCGCCCGCACCGGAGGCCCCTCAGGCGTGGAACTCGGGAGCCCTGAGCTCGGCCCGCGCACCGCACCCCACCGAGCCCGGGCTCTGCGGTCAGCGCCTCCCAGCCGCCCGCGGTGGCTCTGTAGTTGGGCAGGGGTCGGGAAGCCTCCACCGGGGAAGCAGGTGGGCCGGCCTCCGCCGGGCCCCCAGCCGCTCCGAGGCCTTCTCCTCCTTGGGATGGGGCGGCCCTGAGCCAGCCCCTTCGCGGCCCCGCGACCCCACAGCCGCCCCGAAAGCAGAAGTGAGAGGCGCCGGCGCTGGCGGCCCGCGGGAGGGGAGGGGGCGCCGCGCGGGCCCCGCCTCACGCAACCCCGGGCTGCGGTTTCATCACCTGCTCCCCAAGTACCTCATTAGGGCTGCAGGAAGCGG